TCCCTTTTCCTGAGAAGCTGATTACAAATGTGGTTAGCTTTCCAAAGATGGAATGGTGATCATTGGATGTAAATGATGATGAGTAGGGCCCGGATGTTTATGATATATCATATTTCTTCTTTGTGTTATTTCCATGGAAAACGTAAGATAAGTATTGTTTTATCTACAATAACAAAAATGAATTGTCATGTGTCATATAAAGTCATATTTTGGCTTTATAACTTTGTTCATTTCCGTTCAATTTTCATATTATGGTCACATTTTTCATTGAATTTTCGTATTTTTGTCATATTTTTAATTTTTTTTATTCGATTTTTGCATACTTGCTTGCTTGTCTCAAAGAGATTTTTCATACCTTCTAATTGTTATCTAATTTCTAACAATTATTTGTTGTATGTAATTGTCTTTCCTATAAATATATATGTATGTGAATTAGGAGGGTAAGCTCTATAGATGAAAAAAAGAGCGTAGAAAGCACCAGATACCTGGCTTTGCCAGGTTTTGTGTCACGGGGCGCCAAAGGAGGTGTGAATTATGAATGTGCTAGATATTAAAAGTTAATATTCAATATGATGGTTATTTAAACAGCGAAAAGATTTCTAAGGTTTCGAAAATTCATCCAAAATATTTGAAGTCATATTTAGGGTCATATTTTCATATCTGCGTAGGTCATAAATGCTTGCATATTTCTAACGTTTTTAGGTGATAAATATTCGGCCCCAAATGATGAGAGTAGATTTAGAAACAATACACTGTGGAAATGTCTTTTGCGATGCTTAGTGCTCGTTCGTGTTGTAGTGACAGAAATAATGAGTAATATTAGTGGTGGACTCCGAATTACAAATATACAATGTGATGAACTTTCCGATTAGCAGAGATGAAAGGGAATACAATGTTTGTGGAGAGTATATGTGTATATGCGAATTATCTTCCGTTGACATAAAAAACTAATTAAAAATGTAACACATCACATTTGGTTTTATTACAGGGTTCCGATGATACCTGCATGTATATTCTATACAAGCAGTTATATAAAAAAAATCTTTGAATTTTAATAACTGAATTCGTAATAGCTTCCAAGAAAGCCGCTTTTCCTTGCTGGTGGATATTATAACATACCTCTCATGTGTGTGTGACAAAGCAATTCCTGGAAACCACATAACAAACACACGAACGTGAGTGACTTCAGATCGAAAACTTGTACAATTAGGACCGCGCAAAATTGCTTTTACAAGGTGATACATCGAGCATATGATGACGCGAGAGAACAGAATGAGATCGAAGAAGTTCATCTGAATAGTAAAAGATGAGTGTTTAACGGTGTCGAAAAGTTTTGTGAAGATGCGTAAGCCCAGAGAAAATTATCAAATGTAGAATAAACTTAGTGTGGGTATCAAATAGAAGTACAACCCCAAACGAAGAAAGATTAAAAACAAGGCAAAGAAAAAATAAAATAAGTCAACGATCGACAAAATATTCTCAATTTCTCAGAGAAACTCATCAAGTAGTTGTTTGCAAATTCTATGTGTCCAAAATAACTTACCGCTTTTTGCCTGTAAGTTGTGGGACGCTGTCCGTCTTCCTTCTGTTCGATTCACTAATGCTACTTCACATATACATTTCCTACCAGTAGCCACTCGCTTGAGCGACATGTTGGCAATCATACGTTCTTCGCAGCCAACGTTTCGGTGAGGCACTCGCGTAAGCAATTTGCACATTTCGCAATCGGTTGGGAAAGCAGAAAAAATAAACTGTCATGAACTTAGCCTACAGTGACGATATCACGTGAACGGAAAAGGAGCGACTAGATAACGCGCCGCATCGCATTTGTGGGAATTGAATACGCACTTGCAAGCGAAAATCCGACAAATCCGACAAAAAAAATTGTAAGGAGCTATGAATAAGAACAGGCATTCGAAATTTGAATATACAGCAAAGAAGTTAAAAGTAAAGGAAGTGTAAAAGTACATTGTGCAGTCGAAATATGTAGACTTGGCTCTCTAAATGCAAGTTGGCGTAATTATCGCACGTGGCAGAGAAGTGGCGAATCACAGTAAAAGCAGATGGGTCAATAGCAGACTGTTGAAAGGCGTGAGAGGCATCGATGGAACTAAGCGGATTTGAAGTTGAGAGCAAAGCCCCGTGGACAAGAGGGGTGGCATAGACGTCAGGGACTGGAGACGATCAAATGAAAACCGAACAGAGCGCATATTTTTCTACAAGAAGCGCAGGTATCTTTCTGCGACGTCCGTACGGGAACAGAGAAACTGGAGGACAATACTCAGCAAAAGACGGGAACGCAAATGAGGTCGCGATGGGGACACAACTGGGGAAGCGGGGAGGCGCGAGGGTGACGCGAGCAAAAACGGGGGCGTGGGGATATTGGCGCGTACCGCGGGAGCAATGAAGAGTGAGGGAAACAACACATCGACGAAGAGAGCGGCCTTACAAATGACGGAGACCAAGGGGGAAATGGGGCCATCACCAGGGTGACAAAAGGGGGGAGGGGTTGGGAGAGGGGCGGGGAGCGAGGCGGCGCAGTGGGGGAGGGTGACGATCGGTTGCGATGGCGTTACACTAGCTGCTCGCTGCCTGGCAACAGAGTGGAAGGCGGAGAAGCAAGCGGGCGGGGATGGGTCAATATTGTCGTTGCGCCGCCGGGTACGCTTGCAGCTAGCTGGAAGCTATTTTTGGTGAGAAATGGGATCAGAGGAGGTGGAGTGTCCTAGGAAATATCTCCATCATAAATCTGTGAACAATACACCTTTTTCAAATATGTACTCATGCCAGGAGCCATTATCGAAAATATTTGTTTTCTGTATCCGTCATTGTTTTCAAAAATATAGTTCTAGATATTCTTGAAACCGGAAGTCAAATCCCATGTTGTTGGAGATTTGTGCATGCATTAATATTTGTAAAATGACTTTTTCAGTTTTTATTTTACACATCTAATCCAACCATACAATTTTATGGTGCATTCTACAGATAATGTTCAAGGGACAAGAAAAGAGCTGAAGTCTAGAGAAGCTGGACTTCAATCAAAGGTAGAATCAGGGATATTTATCTCGTTCTAACGTTCTAAGATTCCAGAAAGGTTCCCAACCGCTCACAGTTAGCCGTTCAATGATCACTACGTCGAGATCAAGGGTGAGAGTGGTTGACACATTATACTGGCCTTATCATTTGCATCTAAAGTAGAGGAGGGGAGTACATCTGATGCAGCAACAATCGGGATCTACGTTATTCAGTACCTAACTGAAACCCAGAGCCCATGTCATTTTATCAAAGATCTTAATTTTAATCATATTAGCTTAAATACTCTTGGGAAACATTTATTTTCGCCTAACCACCGAATGCATTCAAACTGCTATCTAATTAATTGTAAAGTATGATTATTTTTATTGCTTTTTCGTTCCTCCTCCTTCAGTCGCATTGTGCCCTTCGGTTTATGCGATTTCACGGCACGTGCGAAAGCACGAAGAGCGACCATTCAATTGGAGGGCACGTACGAGGATAAGTTACACGTATAAATGGCTCAAAATCGTGCAGATCGTGTTCAGAAGCGGGTACATACGTAGCGGTATTCCGGAGGGGGTTAGAGAGGGGCAGCCGCCTGAGAGCTCGGCGTCCGGCATTTGAGCCCCGGGCATGGCGAGCTCCCGTGGGGCTTGTTATTACGCTATTCTGCGAATCTCGGATTACGAGCCGGAGGCCAATGCGTCTAATTGATTCTCCGAGAACGCGCGTTCGCAGAGCCACTCCACAGTCCCATGCCGCGTGCGAGTGTCCCAGAACATTCGCCTGCCCGAACGAGTGCTCCCCCTTGGAACATTAACTATCTCGTCAAGCAGATCCCCACTCTCGAAACGTGCAGCCTCCGCTATATTTTATCTGAGGAAATTGCGAACTAATTCCAGGAGAGATCCTTCTTCAACGCCCATAAACGTGGACTGCCGGTGCCTCCCTAATTAATTCCAGTGAGCTTGTATGTGGGTATGGTTCGCGAAAATGTAGCGAGCGTCTGATACAGCAATAATTCCGATCTACGTTACTTGATACGTACCCGAAATGCAAAGTTCTTACAGTTTCTAAAAATAACCTTCGTTTTAGCAATATAAACTTAAATTGGTACCCATAGAAAATTTATTTATTTGGTCTTACCCCATGATTTCTTTCAAATAGTATCTCGTTATTGGAAGTCACGATTTTTTATCTGACCTCGGTCGAACAGTGTGCAATTTTGATAGTAAATCACGTCAATTTTGCATGTAACTCCAGTTGTATTTTGAACTTTAGTCTCGGAAGATACTCTAATATATCCCAAAAATTAAAAATGTGAAAGAAAATATGCAAAAATATATGCAGACTCCTTTCTTAAAAATACTGAGCTTCAAAACTCATATCACCAAAAATCACAATTGTTTGTAATAACAACTGAAATGCGAAACAGTTTTCAACATGAAAAATAGCCGTCGACAATATTTATCTTCCAATTAAGTGTATCAAGAAACTGCATTATTCGCAAACACTATTTTCCAAGAGTCGTTAAAATGATGATAGAGGTAAGCGATTTGTAGGCAAATTGAAAAGAGAAATTCCACACAGCACTGAAAACTTTCCATTAAAATAAGAAGATAAAAATACAAATTATATTTTTTATGAAATATTGTTTACCAAATTGTTAACTTAAAATGATTACTTTAAGGTTCGTAATTAAAACTGCACCGTGTCATATAACGAATTAATAATTCCTATTATGACTGAATAAAAAGAGTGAATGACATTCTTTATAAAGTATATATTGTTTTTTGTTTTTCTTATTTCTTGGAAACCTGTAAATTTATCACCATAATTTTCATTTCCAAAATCCCTCATTTTTCCGAGAAATGACGGATTTAAAAAAAATGAAAAATGGTGGTGAATGATGTTTTTGAAAAAAGATCCAGAATAAGTGGGATGGGGGATTTGAGATATATGCTCCCCTTCCCACAGTCCCACTTCCCAGGAGTTCGCCTCATGGCTCTCCAAACGAAGCATTGTGCCGCCGTCGCCGCCCAGGTTTGCGGTGGTGGCGTCGAGTCTAGTGTTCGGCGCGGGCGCGCTCATCCGCGCAGCGGTCACGGCAGTCGCCGGTAGTGCCTCGGGAGGCCGCCGGCCGGCCCGGAGGCGGCAGTAGTGACGGCGGCGACGCGGAGGCGGCGTTGGAGGCGGCGGTGGCGACGGCGGTGGCGGCGGAGCAGCCGGCCTGGTAAGTCAGGCATTTAACAGGTCGGGCGGGTTTTTGTGTGGCAGCGGAGCCGTTGCTGCTGTTGCTGCTGCGGCGGCAGCGGCGGTGGCGAGGACAGCAATAGTAGCGGAGGTGGCGGAGGAGGAGATTGGACCTGCATACGAAGGAAGAAGTAACTCTGAGATTGTGAAAATTGTGAGAATAGTGGATACAGAAAACGAGAAAGAATGGAGTCAGGCAAGAGGCAGCAACAGCAACTGGTCTCGGGTATCACTGGCGGAGGCAGGATGCAGAAAAGGATCCCAGGCGGTCAAATATAATAGCAGCTGCGGGAGGTGATCCCAGTCCGGAAATTCCTCCCATTTTTACATCATGTCGGCGGTGATGGTGTAATGGTTAGCATATCGGACTATATAACCAAGTTGGTGTGTTCAAGCACATCGAAGCAGTGGATTTTTAACGGCGAAAAAATCCTTCGTACGCCTTCCTTCGGAGGGGAAGTAAAGTCGGCAGTCCCATGTTAGTAGATTTACTTGCATGTAAAAGATCCTCAAGCCGAAATGACGCCTCTGAGCTACATTCAAATCGCCTGTTTCGTCGCCCAAGAAATACCTTTCTGCGCAAGTGGGTGAAAGGAGCGTCGCGAAATTTGCGTGGTCAGACGGAAAAGCGGGCCTGATGTCCCGAATCTCGCCACGTAAAATAAGGCATCAATTCAATTCGAATGACAAACAATAATCGACAAATCACGGATAGTTGCGCGAATTCCAATTAAGGCGAGCGGGCATAAATAACAGTACCTGACAGTTTGGGCAAAATCATGATTACTGCCATCTACGAAAAAGTGTAAGAGTTTGACCTGGAGGTCCCAGGTTCGAGTCCCGACGGTGGCAGGATTTTCGATACTGGCTTGTTAGTTCGGGCGAATTCAGTCGCTGTCTGGAGGAGCATTCTCGCGGCCGGCTGTTCTGATCGGTAGTTTTCCGTGGTTTCTGCGATTAACACCAGGCTAATGCCGGAGCTGTACCCCAACAAACTGCCCACGGACCGAGCGCGATCTCACCTTCCTCTTCCTTGCCCTATCCTCACCCCTTACGCACACACTTTCACAAACGTTCACAACACTACCGGACATGCCGGGAGACCCGCCAGGATTTAAGAGCTTGTGCTGGGGCGGTGCCCCACTGGTGGGACCTGGTTGAGGGAAACCCCGTTAGCCGACGGTAGGTCGGCGCAGACTCTCACCATACAGCGGGGGAAAGATCACCGCCATCGCCCGAGCAAAAAAACATGCATTACACTTACAGGACTATTGACCGTGGTAGTTGGCGTGTCCGGAATCACTAAATATTCTTCACTCATTGACATATTTGTAGGTATTGCTGTTTATGTATAATGGAAGCGGGAATTCAAATGGCTTTAATGAAAATAATTTTGTCACAGGTTTCGTTACGTTAAGCTTTATTTTTCAGGTATTAGCGCATGTTCTACGTAAAATCAGATGATTTTGTAGCTGTGTTTGACGATATTTTTACGAGTTCCCTGAGAGGTGGTGTGCAGTGCAATCAGCAAATTGGACGATGTGATTAACACATAACAGGGGAGAAATAGTGAACCTTGGGAACTCCGCCAGTAATTTTTCTTAGATTTCAATAATATGTGTGGCTATAAACTGATGAAAATGTTTCACTGAAGGTGTAACTTTTGATAATATAAATTAGATACTTGGGTGAACCTATTAAACCAGCTCATAATAGAAGGTTAGATGCCTCACAACTGTGATTGCTTGCTAAAAATCTATTAATGCGTTTATTGTATGTTTTCGTTTTCGGCATGCAGTGTGAATATATTCTGTGGATTTTAATGATTGGCATGTAATAGAGTATTGAAATAAGCCAAATTGAAGGAGTGGAATAAATGCTTTCTTTTCATAAATACTCGTATATATTTATTCAATCTGAAAAGAATTAATTTCTTCAAGACATTTGATATGACAGAGTATGCTATTAGATCATTAATTTTATGCTATTAAAAGTTTTTTAATTTGGTTATGCTATTAAAATGTTAGAGTTCTGGTATTGGGTGAATGGTTGAATGTTTGTGATTACTTCTTTCGCTGCTACGTGGGAAAGCAGCTCAGCGACATTTACGTAGCCTGGCACAAGATTGGGCCTGATGGCCTGAGCCTCGCCAGGAAAATTAAGGTATAATTGAACTGAATTATGCATTTTATTCTCCAGACGGCAATGCTCTTGAGAAAAAGAATGATGAACATTGTAAAGAAAGCAGCGCTAAACAGCGAAACCTGGCGGTTGGCTCAGGAACCTGAAAAACGGGCCGAAGTCGCCGATGGCCCAGCGAGCCGCTGAGCAGGCGCGGGGCGGGAGAGTGCGTGCTTGGAGGCGGCTCGCCGTCGCGTCCTTGCGCCGGTCTCGTCTTTTTGTGGCCGAGTGAGTCTTTCATCCTTTTTCTGCTTCTCGCATTCTCGTTTTGTTGTTGGCCTTTAACTCTCGCCGTCTCGTTCATACTCTCTTGTTTGGTTTTGCGAGGTCTGCGCAGAGTGCTGGTCTGGCACAAACAGTGGGAGATTCATGCTGTCCGTTCTGTCCGTACATGGTGCACTCTGGCCATGTGTTGACATAGCGTACTTGCTCTTCGTAGAGTAATTTTCTTTATGGGTTTCATGCTTTCAGGTAAACGTTGGACTTTCTCTAAGAGTATTTATAATTTCCTGTTTATGATCAGGTGATGGTTTATAACGTGACCCTTATAGTACACAATGGTGGGAAAATAGATCTTGAGAAAAGATGTAGGCTTTTTGTTATTTATTGACACTCGGCAAAAATAAGATACAGAACCCATCTTATACAATGAATTCGAAACTGCGTTCGGGTTAGGTTTCGTTAAATTGAAATGCACTAAAGGTATGATAGGCGTACAACAACGGATGTAAAAACAATTTTAAATTGTATAAATATGAATACATAAAAAAATATAATGGATCAAAGGTCAATTTTGGTTTTCACGAACTGTAATCGCTTTATAACCACTTTGAAAACGTACAAAATGACATTTTTTCAAAGTATGAGGAACTGTATACGCTGACAAAAAATGATTTTGGAATCGAAAAAATTGCAGGAGTTAAAATTAATGTCATGAAATTCCATTCGTAATAACCCGGTTTGTACAAAGCATTGTGTATGGAGAAGCATCTAAATACCAAAACATAAAATGGCCTGGTTAACATTTATCAATTTCAATGCGGATTCCGGCAACTTCCGCCAGTCAATAGTACACATCCTTTAGTTACATTTCCCATTATTGTGTTTCATCATTGCTTTCAACAGATAACTTGTTAATAAGGTTTAAACAATGTCATTTAGAAAACTCTTCAACATTATTTTCAATGCATTTCAAATTTAATATAAATGTTGTTTCCTAAAAGGATGCGTACTTGTTCCCGAAACAATGAATTCGAAAATATTAATTTCATGTTGTGTAACGATGTCCCGTTTACACAACATGAAATTAATGAAAAATCTGATCTAATAGTTTCATGCATCAATACTTTAAAGATTGTGGCTAATTTTCGAAGGATAATCGAACACACGAACATTTTTCCCTGGAAGCGGAAAGAGTTTTCAGGGAGTGTAAGAACAGGTTCCCTGTTCGACAATTTGAGCGACGCCGCAATTTGGGAGCTAGCTAAACCGGGTAACGCGGCGCGTGACTGGAATGGGTGAGAATGTTCACACCACGAAACCAGTGCCCGTCAGGATAGTACTGGCACTGGAAAGACTCGGTTACTCTTTTATGTACTTCCCTGCTAGAATGACCAAGTTCTTAGCTTTAATTACTTATACAAAAATTGGTTTACACTGATGCTTAAACTGGTTGAAATTGTGTCAGTGCATCGCTCTGCCGTTTCTCGAAAATTTTAAAGGAATTCGAATGGTCAACTTTGTCCCAAGTACATTATATACATTAAGTTATGTAATTTTATTTTATTTTACATATTTCTTAAATAAAGTTTTTTTGTACTCCAGCATTATAAAATAACCTTTTCTGTTGCAAGAAATCGTTCATAACCGGGCATTTTTCGGCACAAATGATGACGTATTAGATTTTATGTCACGAATGATTGCGTCATCACACATTCAGCCAATCGTTAGCGAGAGAATCGGGGGGAGGTAGAGCTAAACGGAACAACCGACCATCGTTTACTCGCAAGAAGTCAAATACCCGAGTCGTCACAGGGAAGTTGTTTCACAAAATTAAGTTTGATTCTCTTATAAATGTATAATGCTGTTATACAAAAAATATAGTATGAAACTCCTTTATCATGTTGCTTTATAACATTCGTACAAATTTGAAAACTCCCTCGTTTTCAAAACATGTAGTCATGCAATAAAGCTTAATTTTATTAACTAATTTCATAAACTACTATTATGCGCATTCTTCCATTTCTAATAACAATTTGGCACCATTAGAGCCTTTTTATTAAATTCAGAAATATTTTGGGATAGTGATAAAGATAATATATTTTTACGTAGTCTGATAGACAACATCGGCTCATTAGATGCAATTATTACAAGTTTTTGTTAATAAACCTCACACGTAATTAAATACAACATTCAAATGTAACTGCACAAACGTAGTGACATAAAAACTGCGTATTTGTGTCAGTCCAACGATGCACATGAGCGCACCAATCCACATACTTGACACAACGTACCTGTTCTTTCACGAATTGTCGAGTGAGTCTAGTTAATAGCAAAAGCACGGTTCAAAAGCGATAGCTACCTGGTTTTGAATCATTTCAAACATCTGTCAGGTTATTACAGAGCAGCAGAATGGGCAGAAATCAAAATGAAGTAACTTCTGAATAGAAGCGGTGATGACTGAGGAGGTAAAGAGACATCTGTATATAACATTTAAAATGGAATCCCTACTGTTTAGCAAGATCAAGGAATATCAATCAAAGGCAGACCTCCGACCTTTCTCTCGACAAAATCACAAAAGACCAGCATGTGGATCTACAAAGAAATGATACCTGTAGATCATTTTAAATATTCAGTAATGTATGAAAAAATCCCGGTATCCGAAAAGCTTTTATTAGGTATATTAAATGGAAATGATTCTGCATGAAACCACCTTTACATATTAGCTACCTCGATTGCACAAACGCAGAAACAAATAAAAATGAATTCCGGCAAAATTAACAGTTAAATGTATTATTAAATGCCAATCTAATGTCAATCAATAAATGTATTTCAATTAAGAGAAAATGCGAAATGGCAGCCACACATGAATTTCGTATTTACAAAATTGCCATGCCACTTCTACAGTTACTTCCGTGTTTCAAGCTCTCGCTAGAAAATTAAGAAAACTCCAACTCGCAGACTTCAAAGGTACTATTCGAAGCGGACCTTCTTCCCAGGAAGCCAGTATCTTTAGCAGCAGCCTTACACCCGGTCCTCCCTCGGCCGCGAAAGGACAGGCTCCGAGGCCGCGGGATCGTCGTCCGCTGGCGAGCGAATACACCCGCAGCTGTCTGCAGGATGCGCGGTGCGGTGCGCCGGGGTGGGCGCTTGGGCAAACAGCGGGTGGGAGATGGCGTTGCGGGACGGGATGGGGTGGAGTGCAACGCAGCGTGGTGGGAAGTGCGAGGAGGGTCATAGCGGCGTACAGCAAGACGGGTGCGGGTTGGGAAACGCCTACGTGTGGCGGGGTGTGGCGGGGCGAGAGAGCGTGTGAGAAAAGGGCAGGACGGGAAAACGACTGGGCGGGTTTGGGTGGGGAGGAGGCGACATTAAGAGGGCGATGATGGCGGGAGTAAGATTGGTGGCGGAAGCAGCGGGACCAAAAACAGCGTAGTGAAAGGCGGGATGTTGGCGGTGGTGACAGACGTCACCATTGGGTAGCAGAATGGCAAAGAAGACGGTCGGTAGCAACGGATGGCTGGTGGTGACGTGGGGTGACTGGGTCAGGAGTGGACAGAAGACGGCAGTCGACTATTGCACGAAGAGGCGAGGTGGCACACGGCATGACTGTGGCGGAGACGGGCGGCGGAGACGGGCGGCGGCGTCGGGCAGCGAACAGTGGACAGTGGATGAGTGCACCAGCCTTGAGAATGGGGAAGGCGGTGCGGGCGGGGAGAAGCGAGCAAGCGCCGCAAAAGTAATCACGGTAAGGCAAACAGCGACGCCCACGGGAGCGAGCGTCCCAGCACCACGAGCTCACTACTCATCCGCGAAGCAGGCTGCAGGGAGCGAGGGATACTCGCAGACACAGGGCACACCCGTCGTGCGACCTAAGTATGAATCACCTAAGGATGGTATCTTTAAGGTTTAACCGTGGAAACACCTTTTTCAGTCGAGGAAACAACAGGAAAGCCGACGAAAATGGCGTGGCAAGGCACTTGAGGGATAGTGTGCATGGCATATCTCCTTAAAAGTCACTATTATAATTTTCCAAAAATTATGGAAGATCCTGATAAGGTCATGTTGATTTTTACTATCAAATGTACATACTACACTTCTAATCAGCCAATGTAAAACATTATTGAACTGATCCTAAAGGCACTCTACGCAGTTATTGGATTAATTTTCACGCTAAATGTTATGATAATTCATTCGTGAACATTAATCTTGTCAATTCGTCGTAAGATGTTATCTCCCTCATCCTGTTACGGAGAATTAAATGACCGTCGAAACAAAATATGAATTTCCGGAATCCTGAGAATTGGTGAGAAGAATAAGTAGATTTATTAGCAGAGGTAACATATTGTTTCTCAATGGTTACATGAGGTGACTGTTGAGACCAGGTGTGTACGATCATGTATAGTCACTAATTTCATACATAAAACTTAATACAAGTTTAATAACTAACTTCTTATATTAAAAAAAAATCCGAGTTAATATTTTGCAGTGACCCAAAGTACCCGTAAGATGTTTAGGCAAGAAATAAATCGGCCGATCAAAATAGTTCAAAGGAGATACGATATTAATCATTCCCTAGGCAGACGAGCGGCGGTGGCAGCCTACTCGTCGGGTCCGCCAACGTCGCGGCCGACGCAGCCGTCGCGAGACGGCAGCAGGACGGTGAAGCCGCCCTACCTCGCGCCGCACCGCCCGGCCCGCAGAGGCGCGCACGCCGAGACGCGCAGCCGCTCCACGGCCCGCTCCTGCCCGGTTCGGGGGCCGCGCGGCGGGGCGCGAGGGCGCGTGCGGTGCGGCGTGCCGGTGCGTGCGGCGCTGCGCTGCGCTGCGCTCTTCCACGCGGCCGCGTGCGTAATTGCATGAGGTGCGTCGTCGCGCGCGTCGCTCCCCGCCCGCCCCCCTGCCTTGCCGGCTGCCGCTCCCCCGCCCCAACGCCCGCCACAGCTAGGCTCCCTCGCCGCTCGTATGGCAGGTGAAGCCGTAGACCGGACGCCGCGTGCCAGCGCAGCGCGGCCGGGCCGG